AATTGTTTGACGACGGCAGGCGTGGCAGTCTGTCGTTTGATTATTGGCGGATGTGAACTTTTTGGTGTCAAACAGAGTGACGGATTGTGGTTACCTTTACAATGATAGCAGGAGAATTTGCGAGGACAGTCGCAAAGTTTCTGTCCAATTTTCAGACATTTGAAACAGAGGTTCTTTGATTTGGCAATCTCACGCCTCTGTTGTGGTGTGGAATATTGTGGCACTTTGTCGTCCAATGCAGTTCATTGCAGAAAATACATGGTGGTTTTGGTTGCCGCTGTGGCCGTTTCGGGTCGTTTTTCTGTACTTTACGAGCTGTAGAACGCTCGATACATTTAGGTGGAGGCGATACAACTGCAGAGAATGCTGACGAATGGTTGCGCGCAGCGGTTGCATGTTGAATATTGTGAGGTTGCTGGACAGAGAGATTTAAGGCACGATGAATGTTTTCATTTTGAATGAGCAATAGAGAGAGTTGCTGAACAAGGCTCTCAACGGTCCAAGCAGGATTTTGAATTTTGTGTTGCTCCAATTGCTGAAGAATTTTTCTTGGTAATTTCCTCTCGATAATTTTTTGAACAAGAGTGGCATTGATATTTTCTTCGTGGTGCTTGAGCAGTTGCAGAAGACGTTGAATGTTTTCCAGAAAGAATCAAAAATTTTGCTCGTTGACATTCGGCAAACATTCGAGCTCATCATACAGCGAAGAAACAATAACAGTAGGACTACCATACTTGTCTTTTAGTGCTTGAACAACAAGGTGATAGTCTTTGTTTGCAAGTGCAAATGCGGATATGGTTTGATGAGCAGTACCTGTAAGGCAACTTTTTAAATATGTGAGTTTCTGCCAGTCGGGCTTCGGTTTTGCGTCAACGGCATCTTGGAACCAATCCCAAGAGGAAGGCCATTCTTTGGGGTCGCCACTGAATTTGATTAATGGAAGTTCGGGCATGGGAAAGGGGTCTTGGCGTTGATTGCGAATGAGAGGCTTGGTGGAAGAAACAAAGGATTGCGAAGTTGAAGAATTTGCTGTGGTGGGTGATAGAGTAGACAGACGAAGTTCCAACTGTTTCATGTTGTCTTGGATGTTGAAAATAGTTTGAAAAAGACCGTTAGAGTCAGTGGTCATTTGAGAATACAGGTCTCTTTCGTATGGAGCTTCTTTGGGAGAGAGGGTTTGAAGTATTGATATCCACTGGTCGTGGAGTCGCGTTGGAGTATCAAGTTTGTGGTGCAGAATTGGGAGAAAATCAGAAATTTGTTTTAAATAAGTGCTGTCCTGAGCTTGTGCAGTGGAAAAATCTGCAGTAGATTTGAGCAGCTCAATGGCCTGTTAAAGATAAGGAAGAATTTGAGGAAGAATAATATGACATTGAGCAAGGATGGGAGAAGCACGAGAATTGTGAACGGTTGATACTGAATTCGACATTTGGTCGACGCACCATGTAGGAAAAATAGTATAGAATTGGGAGAGTTATACTCCAATTGAAGCTTGCAACCAGCGCGCAGTAGGTGAGCACTTTATTGAACTGAACATGAAGAAACAAAACCAAGAAGGCTACAACAACGATCGGCGCCATGATGCAGCTCTACAAGATCTGGCGTCT